ACATGGAAAGAATATTTATCATATAAAAAAGAATGTGATAATGAAAAACGTAGAGTTGAAAAAATGACAAATGAAGGTCGAGATGAATACGATCTTAGAAAAGCGGTAGATTTCGAAAATAATTTTTTTTTAATTTTTTTAATTGATTTTTCTTTATTTTTAGCAAGAAGTATTAAAAGAAACTGAATCAATGATTTCGCATACAAAAAGTAGTTTTATTAAAGCATGGAATGAATTTCAAAATGTTTATGTAATTATTATCAACACTAAAATATAAAGGGAGTCAATGGTTTTTTTTTAAAATAACTTTCGACAATAGCAAGATAGAGACTTGAGAATTTCACTATTCAAAAGAGAACATCGGGAAACATAAAATCAGTTTAATTTTGATCGATCCAGCAATTGATCAATCAGATGAGTTTTTATGATCTTGCAGTACTCCGAAAGGATTCAATGCAAGACTAATCCATCATGCTTAGTCGAATGACAATGTTTATTTTCAATTTCGAAACTATCTATAGCCGTTATCTAAAGATTTTTGAAATCTCAAATATCGTGGAGAGTCGGTATTTTAAAAATCTTGAGGTAACAGTTTTAAATAGTTGTGAGACTGAAATCATATCTTGAAGAGACTTTGTTCAAAACTTCTGAATTTTTCAAGGAAGCTAGTCTGCTTGAGTTCTCTCTATGCACAAAATTTCAGATCGAAATTCTAAAATCCTAGTTTTTCGAAAACTTGAAGTTCAGAAAATAGAGATGTTAAAAATTCAATAGCTTAGTCAAATATCAATAGGAACTGAAATCCTTTTAGGATTTTATCAGAACACTATATAGTATCTATAGACAAAAATCATTGAAATCGGAAGGGGGGGGGGACAACCGAAGAGATTCCCTATAGTCAGCATGATAAATTAGCCCTACCTTGGTCCCTTTCGGAGTGCTCCAAAGTCAGTAGATAGCAATCAGGATCTCTAGAAAACTCTTATAACTTTTGAATAGAATAAGTTATAGATATCAGCTTTGCATGAATCTGAAGAGAACAATTTTGTCTATCGAACGACCCAATCAAAACTAAGCTGGTTTTATGACTCTTGATGTTCTCTTTTGAATAGTGGAATTTGCAGATTTCTATATTGTTACTGTCGAAAGTTATTCAAAAAAACATTGACCTCCCTCATGTCTTGACATCAATAATAGTTTCTTTAAAAAACAAAAATTTTTACTTTTTTTTTAAGAATGCAGCAACAAATGATGAGACATTAAAACAATCAAAAGAATATGAAGAAGCACAAAACGTTCATGATGATCTTGATAAAGCTCAACAAGAGGATCGAGCTGCACAAGCATAATTAGAAATAATAATTCCATTTTATTCAAAGACAGTTTAACTGTGATGTAGTCTTCTTTTTTTTTCTAACGTGTTACACGTGCTTCTGTTGTTTTACACGCAAAACTGAATGGTCCTAAAAATAAACACATTCGCTCTTATCAAATCAATATAAATGAGATACAATATTCTTTTTTTCGATAATTTCTCAATATTGGAATGAATAACTTTCGTATACCGATGTTTATATAATAAGTTTTAAACAAAAGTTAATGAAAATTTAATCAATAAACAATTTGAAATTAACAAATGACGGAAATATAATTTGACAAAATGTTTGTTCCTTTTCTAACATTGAGTCATAGTACATGTGGTAAGAACCAACTCAATCTTCGGAGGAATGCTGTCCCCTCGGTTTCCATACAGGACAAAACACTGGCCTGTGTATGATCTCTCTGTTAAGGGCACTCTCTGTTTTTTGACCATTTCTGGTTCTTGAAGAGAGTACAACCAATTCGTATGAAATTTTTACCCCAGATAGAGCACCTCAAATAAGGAAATACCTGTTTGATGAAAAAAATTTTAAACAATATTTTCGCTGTCTTTCAGAAACCCTAGTTTTCCATAGGATCACATCGGACCTGTTTACAGCGTTCGAACAGGCTGAAATTTCAATCACAGATAGTTAGAAGTATTCTTCAGAAGTGAAACCGCCCGTTTTCGTTTTTGACCTTCCTATCCGAATTTATAGATCCTTGGACGCCAACACTCCGGTTTTCGATCCGAATCTTTACGTATTTCTTTCACACAAAAAAAAAAAGAAAGCGAGATTTTCGAAAAAGCTTAAAATCACCTCTGAGATGCGCTCTAAAATATCTTCAAAAAAAATTTCAACCCGATTGGACAAAGTTAGACAGAAGCCATAAGTAGGGTCGGTGTGGCCCTATAGAAAACCAGAGTAAAGAGCTTTTTGAATTGTTTCCCATTTCGGTATTAATCTCCTTCGATAGTTTTCGATATTTTCAAGCAAACTACGATCAACTCAGTACAGAAACAAACATGCTTTGTTAAACTACTCTTTGCACTCTGTTGATACAAGAGATGTACTCATCTATGCAGATCATCTTATACTTCTAGTTGTTTTGCGATAATTTTTGTACTACTTCATCATATTTTCTGTTTTGCATACTTAACTAGACATGAACAAAGCTATTTCAATAGTGTCTAGCCTGAAGTATCTAAAGACATTTGATTTATACGTGACTAAAAGAGCATTAAAAAGATGATGAATCTATTGTTTTTGACTTATATTTCATTGAGCAATAAAATAATGTAAATGAGCAATAATGAAATTTAGCAATAAAAAAAATTAAATGAGTAGTAATTGAAATTTAACAATAATTATATGGAATGAGCAATAATTATACTGAATGAGTAATAATTTATTTAAATTAAAGGTAAATTTTATATAAGGTAGATTTTGTATGAAAGGGATGTTATAGTGTGACTCGCTTATATATCTTTTTTTTTCCTTTCTTCTCTCCTACGATGTCGTACAGATGACAAGTACGACACATATATGTCGGAGCTGACTTTAAAATATTTCAAAATCAACTAATTGCCTTTTAAATTCAACTAGTCGCCTTTAAAAGGGGACCGAATTTTAAAATCAACTCCAATATATGCATATATCTTTTGTTTTCTTTCTCTCTTCTTTCCTTTCCCTTACTTGGATATTTCTCTTGTCTTGATGTTGTTCAGGTATATTTTCTTCTTCGTCATGCTTTCTTCGTAGGGTGTCCGGTTTTTTCCTAGCTCATTCATATATATATATATATATAATTACCATTTCTTCATTAAAATAGTAGTTCAGTATTGATGTGTTAGATCAATCACCGGTTAACAAAGGGTAATATGAATTCATTTATATATGCAAATAAGTATTTTTTCAATTTTACAAAATAAAATATAAAAAAAGGAGGCAGACTATCTAAAGCAAAAAAAGCTTTATTCACACAATAGTATACTGTTTTTTTTTCACTTTTCTTTTTTTTTCAATTATAAATAACTTTATTATTTCTCTAATTCATATAAACTAATGTAGTTTATCTTTGTTTTATTGCTAAAATATGAAATTACTACTGCTTAATGAATTAATTATTGTACATTTAATAATATAAAATTACTCAAATAAATGCTAGCCTTTGTTTTTTTCTACAAAATTAATTTAATTAAATCTTTCAAGGCTATAATATATGTGAATGCATATTTTTTCTTATTCATGTATCTTCTTTTTTCCGCTAGAACTAAAATGAAAATTGTTACTCATGAATAATAATTAATCTAAGAATTCTTCAATAATATATTACAGGTAGAATTTATTTATATAAATAAAAACGTCGGAAATTACACTATGCAAATGTGACAGTTATTACCATATAGAAAAAAAAAGAAAACTCATGGTCTGTGATTTTCTTTCTCAATGTAGATTGTATAAATTCTTATGATAGAAGATGACAAGAACTTTTTTCTTTTGGATTGAATTTCCATGTAGTGAAATCAGACATTTGATTGAACGAATGATAATGATTATAGTCATTGATTTTTTTTTTTGAGATTGTGAATAGTATACACAAGAGAAATATTTAATTTTTTATTCTTTAGTAATGAATAGTTCATTTGATTTTTGTAGAACAACTGGTAGATATTCTTTTGTTATTGATAATAAGAGAATAGATTTAGATCATTCAATCATTTCTAGCATTGTGATTATTGATCTTAAAACTAAGTTCTAATTATGACAACCTAAGTTTTTGCTTTTTTTTTAAAGTACTCATTTGTTGTAAGTCAAATTAAAACTGAAATTTTATCTACCAACTAACAAATCCAAAAGCATTAATGAATAGTTTACTCTTTGTCTAATCTTCTTATGATTGAACATTTCAAATAGATTTAGAATAATTTTTATATTTAATCATTATATTGAATAAAAGTTTATTTACATTATTTCGTTTTAAAATTCTTTAATTAACTTACAGTTACTATGAAAATGGATTATTTTTTTTCTCTATTAAAATAATTCATTATTATATTTATATATATAGATGTCTTCAAAAAAATATTTATGAAAGATGGACTGATGGAAATAATTGAGGAACTTATTAACAATGCAAAATACTTGAAGATTGTTCGGTTAAAATAGAATAAATAATGGAGATACATAGGAAAAGAATAGGAAGGAGGAAAAAAAATGTCAAGATGACAGCTTTTGAATGATGAATAGATGAATAGAATTATTTCGTGTATATAATTATAATTATCTGATTACATAAACATTATATTCTAATGAACGAACAATAGAAAAACTTCATAATGAAACAAACTCTTCATCTATCATATGAACTTTTCCTATTATTGATTTCATTTTCTGTAATTCTATTTATATCAATAAAATTCTCTCTCGTCTTTGTCTTTTTTTTAAATATATCTCTGTTTAGTTTCTCTTGTTTTTTAACAGTTAGAAAAGATATAAACACAGGAGAAAGAAAGAAAGAAAGAAAGAACATGAAATAAACAATTAGGCAACAAGTGTGCATAGAAAAAGACAAGGATTCATTCTCTATACCACAACACGAAAAAGAGAAAAAAAAACAAAATTAAACATAGAAAAATTCTAATATAGTTCATCACCACTTGGCGTTGCCAATGATGATGAACCGTTGCTATTCGTATTATTATTATTATTGAGCAACGACTGTGTTATTGTATTTGTTGTTGATGATGATGATGTTGACGAATGTATATGATGATTATTTAATAGTGTCAAGTGTCCCGTATGTGTTGAAGGATGATATTGATGATGTATTTGTGGTGATGGTGTTGCGAATGTTTGTTGTTGAACTTGAGCAGCAGCAGCCGCTGCAGCAGCACGTGATGCAGCAGCATTAGCTGCTTTTGCACCACGTTTACTAGTATTAGTACCACGTTTTGATGCTGGACTGTTACTTGTATTTGTTGTTGATTTAAGTGGATTATCTTTTTCGCAATATAACTGTCCATTAAAAAAAACATAACGATCACCTTTAACTAAACGTGCATGACATTTAATACAAGTAAAACAATGAAGATGATAAACATAATTTGGACTAACACGCATAACTTGTTCATTTGGTCCAATAACTTGACTACATAATGAACATGGACGACTACCATATCTTCTAAAAAAAAAAAAGAAAAATATTTATTATTAATCATTAATATAAATCAATTATTTTCTTTTTGTTTTGATGCCTGAGTTTCAAGTACAGATAGTTGAATAATGAATATTTAATTAATAAGATTTCTTTTAATTGAAAAAGCTCGTTCTCTTTTCTTTCAACTAGAAACTCCTTATAAAAGGTTTCTCTTATGTTGATATAAGGAGGAGTACTTTGAATTTCTATTCATTTTAAACAAAAGAAGAATCCTTTTTCTTGATTGTTGACTTATTGAACATACATTGAATCTCAGAAACCTGTTTCTTTTTTTTTTCTTTTTTTTAACAACGAGATATTATTTTATTTTATTTTATATCATTATCTTACTTAATATAATCAGACTTGCAAAGTAGGGCATTATCTTTGGTATAAAATGTTGAAGATATATCAGCTAAAACAGCATCACAACATTGACAACGTAAACATTGCATATGCCAATAATTTCCACGACATAAACGATCTTGTGTATATAATAAATAACGTTCATGAATAGGTTGTGTACAATTTGAACAAGTATATGCACTACCATTTGTTGAACACTGTTGTTGAGAATCATAACGAGAAACTATAGGTACCATTTTTGACTGTTGTTGTTGTTGCTGCTGTTGTTGATCAAAGACAACCGGTTGTGGTTCTAGTTTAGGTTGCATTAATACAACTGAGCCACTACCACTATTACTACTGTCTAGAAGAAAAAAAATGAATGAAGATAGGGTAATCAATATTCATGTACCTCCTCCTATTACTACATCTCGATTTCAATTTATTTTCCAATTACGAGACGATGATCGATGGCGATTGTGCATGTGTAAGCGAGAAACGAGCGAATATATTCTCTATTTCTACTTGACACATGCAGACAAGAGGAAAAAAAGAGAGAGAAGAGCTCAATAAATGTGATCAGAAGAAAAGAAAAAAATAAATCATTATCTGAGTAGTGATGGTTACACAAGATGAACAAATGAAGTAACAAAAGCATTGCTGACTGTATCAAACAATAAAAAGAATAGAACATTCTATCTCCTAATTGTCTGGACAATTACTTTAATTAAACTCGCTTTCGTTTGTCTGTACTATAGAGCAGGTGTGAAAAAGAAAAGAAGAAATAACAAAGAACAGATCATGAATATATATATATATATTTAGTTAACGACTTGCAAATAAGGATTGACATGAATATTTTTTTTTCTAATTAACACAAAACTATTTTCTTTTTCCTCGATTAACAAATAATAAATCTCAATAATTTTCGATTTCTAAAATCTAATCTATAAGTAACTTAAAATATTCTATATATTTCATTCGTTGAAAAATAGATCATATTCTTTTTCTTTCTTAGTAATGAAGTTTGTCTCTATGGAATAGAATATATTGAATAATGGAAAAGAGAGAGAGAAAGAGAAGAAAAAAAAATTAATATTTATCTGTTAATAATAACTGATAAATGATGATGAAAGAAAAATAAAAATGGAATTTCTCTGAAAGATAATTGCAATTTTTTTTTTTGTGTTATTTTTAGTTTTCATTGAACAAATAGAATAAATTAAATTTAGATTGTTTCCTTCATATAAGTACTTTTCTTTTCAAGCTCAAGGTTTATTTATTTATTTCTCCTACTTTTTTTCTTTTTCTTTTTTTTCTTTCTTCGTGTATCGAAATTTACCTATACTACATAGTATTCTATTAAAAAAAAACACACATATAAAATTGAATAATTACCGATAAAAATTTCCTGTCAAAATTTGTTTATGATTTTGATTCCAATAAATGAATAATATCGTTGTGAACACATATCCATTCAATATCTAAGTATATTACTTCGTATATACATACACATGATGTTCTGTCAAGTTGACTGGCTATGTGTTCGCTCTCGTCTCGTCCCGTTTGTGCAGAAGAACAAAACTTGGTCTCATTTTTTTTCTTCTTCTTCTTCTTCTTTCTCTTCCCTTTCCTATTTTCTTCTTCATCATCATCATCATCATCATCTAAGCACTAACCAACATCACTACGATTCTTTTTTTTTTTTTTTTTTTCTATTCTCCATCATATTACAAATAGACGTCGTCAATTAATGAATTGAAGAAGATATATAGTCTTCGAGTTCCTATATATATATATATGTTTGATGGCCGGACGAGGGCAAGAAGAGAGCGAGAGAGTGAGACGGAAAAATTTGAATTGAAAAAAAAAAATGAGAGAAGAAAAAAAAACGAACTTGTTCAACATTTACTTCTTTAATGACTATTCACATTAGCTAAACATATGTGTATGTTCTATAGAATCGATTGAACATTAAGTTAATATATAATGTATTAGATCATTTATGATCAATAAAACAAAACAAAAAAAAATTGACCATTATCGAAACTTACTAGTTGCATTGTATCATTGTTAGTCAAGTCTATTTTGCTTACTAATCATCGAAATCGATTTGTCAAGTATGCAATCTCGTCTTTTCTTTATGTCTATGTTCAATTTTCACCCTTGTTTTTTGTTCAGATAGACGAGAACTAACACCAGAAAGTGGTCTTTTTTTTCTTTTTTTTTTTGTTTTAATTGACAACATAATGTCGTTCGCCGTTTGTCATAAAGAAAAAAACGCAGAATCGATTGTCATTATTAAATAGAGCACAAACTACTAATGGATTGATGGATAAAAGCATTGAGCAAGAATGAGAAAAAAAAAAAAAAGAAAAAACTTCGACACATACTGAGTGTTAAGAGCGTTGACTTTTTGTAGAAGTCTAAAAGTGTTTATCGATTTTATAGCTCGAAAACCTTTTAGTTGATTAAATTTAAATTGATAATGCCACATTTAGATTATTTACCTGGAGTTGTAGTAAAAATTCGTTGACGCATCGTACTTCGACTTGCCTTTACCATTGATGAATATTTTTGATCGTATTTGCAACGTTTACTAGTGTGTACTTTTTTTTTTTAAAGAAACGAATTTGACCGTATATATAAAGTGCACGTAATAAAAAAAAAGGACGCGGTTATGATGTATGTGTTCTGTTCTTCTTATACATACATACGATAGAACACGAAAAAAAAAGGCAGCAAATTGTTAAACGACGACGAAGAGGACGACGAAAAAACCTGTCTATTTGCGATCACCTCTAATTGAATGAGTTAATAAGTACAAGGTACTTATTTCACGTTTTCTCTTCTTGATCTTTTTTCATTTTTTTTTCTTTTTCATACTTACAGTCCTGCCGAGAACAAGTATGTCTTATGTATATACATACTACCCTATATATTGTAGCAACACTTGATTATCTTTTCACATCTATGCGAAATAGTAACGAAGACGAAGAGGATGAAGATGAAAAAAGAATAACAATCAGGATAAAGGTACTGTCATATGAAGAGAAAAAAAAATGACGATAAGGAAGCAGTGACGTTCTTCCTGTGCGCATAGTCTACGTCGGTGAGAAATGTGTTTGGCGAACACACGGCAATCGAGAGAACGAGAGAAAAACAATCAGAGTGAAAAAATTCATTAAAAATATGTGTGTGTGTGTGTGTGTGTATGTGAGTTTAATCAAATCCATCCATATGTATTGGGGCCGCTCGATCAAGATAAGCAATAATAGTATTAGTAGTGTGAGTAGAACGAGAAAATTGAATTAGACTATCATGCTAATTACTTTTTTCTACCAACATCTCAACATAGAAATAGAAGAATATATAACGTTCTATTATCAGAATGGCAGATGTTATTTTTCTGATTGACAATGTGTGTACGAACGATCAAAGACAAATTATAGTATTAAGCAAAAAAGAAAATGTCTCTAATCAGAAAAAAGAAAAAAAAAAAATAAGAATAAATTATATTTGAAACTTTTCTTTCTTTTTTTTTTTTATTATTATTTAATCAAGGTTAGTTTGATTTTCTTTAATCAACTAATCTCCTTATCATTGCAACTTTTTTTTTCTCCCTCTCTTGATTATATTGATATGACGCAAGCAAATAAGAAAAAAAAAACAAAAAAAAAAAAAAAACCTACGTCTTGAATCGATTGTATATACGCTTATATACAATCAAAAAAAAACAACAGAAAACTTCATGCAGAGTCGTCAATAAATATTCTCTATAGGAAACATGAATAAGATTGGTCTAATGAAGATGATAATCCGGGCGTCAAAGTGTTTAGCAGACACACATCGATCGAAAGCGAACGAGCGTGTATCCAAATGATGGTAATTTTAGGATGTACATGTGAGTGTTGTTGTTTCTCCCACACACGCACATCTGACATGCGTTAGACTCCATATGTAATTGTCATCACTAAATTTGTATGTCCACTCAATATCTATGAACTTACCAGTATTAGTCATATTAACCATAGATTTCGTTGATGTTGGTAATGTCATCGGTCTTGATAAAAGATCATCATCAAGTAAATCAGACAACATTTTTTTTTTGTTTTTTTATCTAAAATAGACAATAATAATAAAATTAAAATAAGAAAAAAAGTACATTCTCACTCTAATTCAATTAGATTGGATACTACAATGATCAACGAACACATCTGGAGGCATTCCTCATTTTCTCACTCTCTATTCTATTTTTTTTCCCTCTCTTTATTAGTCAAGAGGTATGAAGTATGCAAAGCTAAGCGAATGAGTCTCTGCTAAATGAGTTGAGTGAGAAACGAGATAAAAGCGGAAAGTTGAGGAGATGATGGATGCAGGACGCCGTCGTCATCGTCTCACAGCTCGTCGATTATTGATACTACTGCCTGACAACAGTACGAGAAAAAATATGTCGATAACAATAAAATGACGAATGATAGCACGTTAGCTTATTGTATACACATTTGGATTTGAGATTAAAATCGATCGATTGATGATGATGATGATGATTCAACAGGCAAGCAACATCCAAATAGTAGAGAGAGGGGGAGAGAGAACATATAATAACACGGAGAATAATAATACAACCCGAAGAGAAGAAGACGAAGAGGAGAGAGAGAGAAAGAGATTGTATGTGCAGTAAAAGGAAAACATGATGGCATTTATGCCCTGTGAGAATGATGTACACATAAAACACTTGCTTGTATGTCTTAATATTTTTTAATGTTAAAAAAATTTTAGTAATTGAAAGATTATATTAAAAAACAAAAAAAAAAGAGAAAAATTGCTTTATTTTTTTTTTTGAGGGTGTCAATGCATTGTGCACATTAAATAAAGAGACGTAACTTAACATTACCTGTCAAAGGATTATTCGTATTGGATGAATATGCACACAAATGTTTGAGTGTAAATAGACGACAGGTGTTATATGACGATAATATTACGAATGTGAGTTTCAACACTCAACGTTGTCGATAATCGAATAATTTCAAATATATATATATATATATATATATGTTTATATGTGTCACTCCCCATCATTTCATAGAAGAAATTGTTTTTTTAATATTAACACAACAATAACGGGCGACGTCCATTATGGTAATGCATTCTCTTTTTTCTGTCTCTCTGGAGCGCGCATGTCAACTGTGAAATATGAAACGTCGCCCAACGTAAACTCTCCGGATGGTCTATATTGTGTGTTTGTCGGTCTTCAATAATTGTCGGTCAGGGAATTATGGTTGAATATGAAATAGTCTTTGCTTGTCTATATTCTGACTTTTCTATATGTCTTTGGCTATACACATTTTCTCAAGAGACCCACGTACGCAAATCTGTTAATTGATGCGCGATTACATTTAGAAGGGACACAAAGAGAGAGAGACCTTATTGAATGAAACTCTTTTCGTTTTCTCTATCTTCTTTTCTTTTTACTGGTTATATGCACGCGTGCGCATCTATTTATTTGTGTGTGCAAGCACAATCTAAGGTCTCTTTGTTCGATTATAATTAGTGGTGTTCGTCGAACATAATCCTGGGGTCCAACCCTAAAAAATATGTCTTTTTTTTTCTTCTTTCTCATTTTTCTCTTTTGGATGGTTTTAGCATAATCAAATAACCATCATCGACATCACAAGCTAGAACAGCAATGACGATAGTAGCATACTCAATAATGCTTGTCTTGTCAGAAATCGATTGATGTCGTCGTCAAGATTAGATCGTAGTCGGCCTGTTGTTGACGACTAGCTATGCTACAGAAAATTACCATTTAGATAAAAGAGAGAAAAAAGAAACGAACGAGTATTTGGTTCGTTGAACGATGAACAATCGGAACATGATGCATCAACGACTAGTAATTATTGAGTGTTGTTCTGAACTACTACAAACTTCCGTTCAAATGACAATAAGACGAGCAAATTTTTTTTTTTGATTTCATTGGAATAAGATTTCTTTCATTCATTCATTCATTCATTCATTCATTCATTCATTTTATTTTTTTTCGTGCTTGTATGAATCAAATTACTAATCACAAATCTTTCTCGCTTCTTTAGTTCATCTTATTGTTCGAATGAACAAGCAATTCTACTCTCAATGATCATGTCCTCTCGACAAACATTACAACGTGTTATATTATGTGCGCAAAAGAGCAAACACAATTTAACTAGTCAGTCTGACACATGAAATTTGATGAAATAATCATTCATTTATCTTTCCAATTTGTTTTTTGTTTTTTTGTTAATCATGAATAAAATTAGATTTTTATTTTTAAAATAATATCTCGAACAATAATTAATAATGAAATTCTATTCAAATAAAAAATATGAATAATAACAACAGAAATCATTGAAGCTTATGATGATGTTTAAAAATTAATTTAATAGAATTATTAGACTATTAATAAATAATGAATTAATTTTTGTTTTAAGAAATTATTCGATTAAAAAAATATAAAACAAATAGTTGAAATTATAAAATAAAAAAAAAAAGAAAATAATCGAATAATATGATATGAATCTATTGAGAACAAAACAAAACAAAAAATATTCTTTCTTTTTTTTTTTTTGCTAAAATTATGAATACAAATTGTAATTTTCTTTTTTTTTTTCACAACATATAGTGTCACTTTGTGCAAATAATAAAAAGTTTGCTATTTTAAATCTATGAGTAAGAGAAAATATCACAATTTTCTCTTCAAATTTTTTTTTTAACTTTTAATTTTGACTAGATGTATCCGTTGTTTGATATTCATTATTCATATATTGTTCATATGTTATATGTATTGCTCTATCCATTAATAAAATGGCTACTATGGTAAAAAATACATCTATAGGACGTATATGTAATCGATTAAGTCTTGTTTGAGATGATATTGTTAAATTTTGAAATGGTATTTCAACAACAAGTAATTGTTGTTGAGGATAAAATTGTGCATGAGCTTTTCGTACATCAGCATTTTGTGGAATAATAAATGTACGTTTAAATTCTTTAGCAACAAAATCAGGTTCTGTATCATCATTTCCATTTACATATGAATTTGTTGTTAATGGTTGAGATGGTTGAATTGGTGCTCGAACAACATGTTTACCACGAACAATGAGTCGACCATGTCGAATTGAAACATTTAATTCATTTGGTTGAAAACCATCAACATTCATACGTAAACGAAATGTTCCTTGTTCATCATTATGAATTGGCGGTGGTGGTGGTGGAGGAGGAGGTATTTGTCTATCGACATTAACAAAATGTGACAAAGCTGTCATAGGAATAGACATCGTTCTTGATGAAATTGTTGTTGGTGAAGGTAAATAATCATCTTCAATATAATCATCATCATCATCATCGCCATCATAATCATCACCTTGGATAGGAGTTTGATTAGCTATAACCAACATAGGAAATACTGTGGGTGGTGGTGGTGGTGAATACAAAAAAGGCATCATCTTAAACTTGCCTTAATCACATACGTATAATGTAATCGATAAAATATCTAAGGACGTTAGTTACTCCTATATATTTCAATGAGAATAAATCATTTACCTATGATCGAAAACGAAAGAACAAAAAAAAAAATGACGATACAAATACATTTATACACGACTGTAAAAAAAAGAGAATGTCATAGGAAAAAAAAATCATATACACTGTTACGTGTAATAATATTGCATCGTTTAGGTTAGTAATACAACGCAAGCAAAGAAGCAAAAGAAAAAAATAGATATCATCAATATACAAGAAAGAAAAAAAAAAGACTATATCATCACCTTGTTCTCGCTATACGGTTTTATATGTATCTATATACGTATGTTGATCATGTGGCTAGAAATTATTATCGGGAAACAGAATAAATGAGACATCTCATTAGTTAATGAGTTGTATTACTGATGACAATAGCTTATTTTTTACTAGATATCAAGGTTAATAAGGAGAAAATACGATAAACAACAGTTAGACAAGGACGTGTTAATATATTGAAAAAAAAATGTCTTTCACAACAATAACAGAACAAAACATTGTTGATTATCCATATATAGATTAAGAACTGAAATTCTTTTGACTCAATTTCTTTATTATGTACTTCTTTATCTCGATCAAAATGAGAGTAAATTACAATTCTATAACAAATGATAGAACAGAAATGAAAAACAAAAACATCAAAGAAGAGTCATACGACTCTAAGAATGTCATTATCAAAAGAACTAATGCTATTTCAAGACAATTTAATGACCTTTATATATCGATTACAAACAAAAGAAGTCGATTTTCAAAAGAGAAACTAATTTACTAATTCTAATCGAATCCAATTATCTAAAAAGATTAAGATCTACAAATTTCTAAAGTTATTGAAAGACTCTCGAAATTATAAAAATTCATTATCAATAAGATCAAAAATTATGAATTAATCGTACGTTTCGTTCTCTCAATAATTGATTATTAATTAGCGAATATTAAAATTTAGAAGTATTTATTTTTTTTATAATAAAATTTGACATTATATAATAAAATGGATTTTGCAAGCTTAAAATATTGTTTTTTTTTTTAAATTTCTGAAATAAGAATCATGATTAAAAATAATATTAAATGAGTTTAAATGAGTTTTATTTTATAAAATATTCAATTAAAATTGTGTATGTAAAACATCGATTTTATTACTTTTTAAAATCACAGGTGTAGATCGAATTGTTGTGTCATTTGGTTTCTCTGGTTGATTACCAAATATGAATAAATCTTGATCATCTAAATCATTTTCTTCATCTTCATCTGTATGAAATGATCGATTACGTGTCTCTGGTAAAGTATAAATTGCAACAATTTGAAATATTGTTAAAATTGAATAAATAAAAAATGTTATTTTGGCATATTTATCACCAAGTGCAACATCAACAATTGGTGCAAGAATAGCACCTATACGTCCAGTAAATACAAATATACCATTAGCAACACCACGTATTGATGTTGGAAATATTTCTGGAACATAAATCCATGTTATTAATACTGCAGCACTTATAGTTAATTTTCCTATTTGTGATATTATAATTGTTATTATTGGATGAGATTCCATA